TTATTGGCTGACTGACTGACTGACTGCAACTCTTATCATTTTCAGTCAACGTCGCTGTTTGTTGTTGTTTCTTGTCTTCTTTGCTGGTGGTGGCTTTGGTTGGCTGTACTTTTTTTCGTCGAAGTCTTGGCGTATTTTTCGTTGTCGTTGTTGCTGCGTTTTCTTCGATATTGAGCTGAGTTTTGTTTACTATTTTGTGGCCATTATGAAACTAGTCCAATGACTTATACATACAAACGCGCTATGAGATTGGTATGTAGGAAGGTATGCAAGTTTATGCGTAAGTGTGAATGTATGAGTGCAGTAGAAATAAAAAAAAACAAAACAAAACTATAATTTTGTTATTGTTATTCATTTAAAAAAATCTCTGACGTATGCAGTTTTTGTTGTTGTTATTGTTTTCCAATACAAAATTCTTAATGACGACTTCTCCCGTCACTTGCCTACTTGATAATCGATTTGATAGTTCTGGCTTTGGGGCTTGTCCTTTCAAAACCTGATTTTTGTCTAGAAAATCATATTTTCAACTGGTTGTTCCATTTAATGACTGAGCATCCTTTGTTTTTTTTTCTGGATAGATTGTTCTGGAAGCATTAGGGCTGTAAGATATCTCCGTATTTAACGTTCTTAGTTTTATTGTTGTTTGTCTTGTGTAAGCGTAGCATAACGAAACTCAATAATAAAACCCCGCAAACTTGTTTATACCCAGCTAATTTCACAATTATTTTTCAGATTTACACAATATTATGATGACATTGTAATTTTTTTAAATATTAAAAAAAACTTTATGGGTTGGAGGTATTTTTATAGTGTAATTTCAACATATGAAGAAAATAAGTTAATTTGTATTGTTAAAATAGAATTCAATAATTATACAGCCACCCAAAATGTAGCATTTAATGTGAGTTCTTCTTTGCGAACGTCTTAAAAATGCTATATGAGGTCTTTCAAGGAAACTTTTACAAGTATATGACCTCCACCACGCTTCAAAAAATTCGATGAGACCAGCGAGATCATCAAATCATCTTATAGAAGATACAAAGGTTCTTTTTATAAAAGTCCAGAAAATCTTCTCATAGATGATCAGAAGAACTTCTCAAATGAGGCCACAATATATTGTTTTAGAACACCAGAATGTCTTATTATGGAACACCAAAGGGTTACCTTATAGAACAAAAATATATGTTCTTACTGAATACAAGTAGGACTTTAAATAACAGACAGAAGGTATTTTTATAGAAGACCACAAGGTGTTCATATAGACTACAGGAAGAATCTGTGTAGAACGTCTTCCTATAAAAGACTAGAAGATTTCCTTGTTTTCTTATATAACAGCAGAATGTAGTCATATAGATGACCAAGAGGCATTCATTTGTAATATCAGGAGGACTTCTTATAGACCAAAAGCTCTTCATATAGAAGACAAGAAGTTTTTCTTCCAGAAGTCTAGAAGACCCAAAAGGTATTTCTCTATAATTATAATCAAAATATCTTTATATAGAAACTAGAAGTTCTTCTTATAGAACACAAAAATATTATCTTTCAGAAGTCTAGTAATTCTGCAACGTGGTATTTTATCATCGAAATGCCTCCTTGTAGCCATCAGGGATCTACGCACAGAAAGGGGGCTTGAACTTTTGCCCGGTCCAGACTATGGACTAGAATTGAAAATGTTGTGAAAATAAGTTTTGAGTCCACCAACAAACAGGAATACGAATAGAACCTACACATATGGGTGTACATTTGAACAGCGCTGATAAAATATCGGTTTACAATTTTTTCGACCAACAAATTTTTCCACAAACCAATTTTTTTATGGACCCCTACTTTTCCAGCAGAGTCAACAACTTTGTCTAGTTTTTTCAGTCGTGGCATATATAGTTATGCCAAAAAATAAAATTCACGGGAAAAAGAAACCGGTTTCTAAATTTTTGAACCTTATATTCAGATAATAAAACCGGTTTAATTTCTTATATGCATATCATTAGAAATCTAATAAACAAACGCTCCAAACTTATTGAACAGGACTGTTATCGAGATTTTCAATAAATTAAAGATGGGAAGGACACATAAGGAATAGAGTTAGAAGAATAAATGTTCTACAAAAAATGTCTCTACATATCAAGATATAGGTTCGTTTATAGGTTCTTTAGCAAAAAAAAAATAAATAAATAAATAATCTCCCATATTTCCCAATTTTTCATTCTGGGGGTTTCAAATGCTCACCAAAGCCTTTCACCCCAATACAAATTTTCCAGCCCCAGACCTAACGATTTTGTCGCATAGTGTTATAAAATAAAAACTTTTATGAGGCTTGAAAGCAACAAGGGACCCAAGTTGCCTCCTATCCACCCCTATGTATGATGTAGGTATGTTTATGTCTTTTATTAATTTAATGAATCTCAAAATATGTTATAGTTATGTACATTTGTAATCTATCTATCCCTAACATTCTTTATTTTTTTTTAATATCTTTACCATGACACTGTCAATAACTAAAAATTGGCAGGTCTAAACTAAAAGAATACCCCGAATAACGTTCCAAAATATAAAAAAGCTGCGAACCAAAAAACAAAATAAAAAAAAATCAATAGAACGAAAAAAACGCATTGACAAAACGATTTTATTCAATGTTTTGTTTTTTTTTGGTTTCAAAGTTTGACGTTGGAGGTTGGTTGGCTGATATTCTGATTATTTCATTGATATTCAATGGCAGGCAGAATTGCAGCGGCAGCAACAACCCACCCCCAAAAACAGCGAAAAACAACAACGTCAGCCTTTCAAGCCGGCTAAATGATGTAGGCGGTGTGTGTGTGGTTAATCGAATGTATGCTTCTGTTTATGCCAAGAGAAGAGGGGTAACAGTTAGCCATAATTCAGAATTCCGCCAACACCTTACGAATTTTTTGTAGTTTTTGGTCTGGCTGCTTGTCGAATTAAGAAACTAGCCGCTGTCGCCGAAAACCGTAATTTTTATGCGGCTTGTGCTGAAGTTTCAATTTTATTTCAGTTTGATTTCCAAAATCGCAAGTACACATAAATGGATACATACATACATAATAAATACGACATACCCATTTTGATTTTGTATTTATTTGTATTTACCATTTACAGTTGTTTTATTTAATTTTTGTTCTCGAACATTTTTTTTCGAATTTTGAACAAAATTTGCACTTTATTTTCGCTGGTGGTGTGACTGATTGACTGACGGTCGCTTGGGCGGTTTATTTGCGAATTTGCTTTGTTTAGAGTCCGGCTCGTTTTGTGCTCGTTTGTTTGTTTGTCATATTAATGATGGATAAGAAGAAATCCGATGTTATCGCCTGATATCGCATTTCATGGCTTGTCATAAAACCCAATTGCTTTGATGGCGTATGGGGTTGGACATTTAACCATAGAACGTTTGTGTGTGTGTTTTATGGCACAGTGGGTGGATTTTTGAAAGAAACTGTAGTACAGAGTCGAGGGCATGGTCTGGAGGGGTCGAAAATTTCTTATGAGAATGAAAGCCTTTGGAGAGTATATTTAGAACATAAATTCGACATAGGTCAGAATAAATTTCTATGTTGTTCACCATGAACGCCTGTTGAAATCACGATAGACTTTGTAACATTTAAGATAGATCATTCACATGTTGCTATTATTCCAAAGATGTTTGTTATTCAAAATGTGGTAACCCAAGGGGAAAGTAAGCAAGTTTTTCATTGGCTGTAATTTGGTATTTTGAGTTCTTATGAGGCAATAAGTCTTACTGCAAAACATTATATATTTAGGACCCCATATTAGGGTGGCACCTCTTTATCAGTACCTCCAGGATTTCAGTAATGGGACAGGGTTTTTATTTGATATTTTGGGTGACACATCTTCCTAACAAAAATGATCGATATTGGTCGATGTTAAACGATACAGTATTTTGGATACGTTTCTCAACAGAATAGGCTCTAATTTGATATTTTTGGTTCCTATTGAGTATAAAATCTTCTTACCAAACCGTATAAACATTGACCCACTTTTTAGAATAGTCTCCATGTAGCCCCCACATATTTCCCACAAAAGTGGCAGTAATATGACATTCCGGGTTCCTGATAAATAAAAGAACTTCTTCGCAAAAATTATTACAGTTCCATGTTTTCAAATCTTGCAATAAATTTCCAACCCATTGTGTTTTTTTATTTGTATGGCTTGTGGATGTCAATAAAGTTTCTCTGATTGTCGATTTTTTTTTGCTGTAAAAAATCTCGAGATTTTGTTAACTGATTTTAATGGCAATTTGTGTTAGAGGGAGTGATTTGTTTGAGGCTGGTATTCTCACATCAACACCAACTAATAAATAAGCAAACATACCGACAAACACACACATACGCACTTCCATAGTGATATTTATCCATGGTTTATTAATGGTGGTGTGAACAATTGGTTTTTGACCTTTAAATAATAAACACAAAAAATATATATATGATTGTTAGTTACGTACGTACATACGTACGTTCGTACATGTATGTATGTAAATACAATTGTTTTTCTCTTTCTCTCGTATAAAATTAAATCTGAAGACACAATTTATCGGTTTATGAATGAATTACCAAGGTTATGGTGGAGTTACGCGGCATCTTTATGCCTTGGGTTAAAATTTGATCCGCACACAATGAAAGTGATGACAGATTGATCGAAGCGAAAAAGTGTGTCAAACATGTGCCATTTGGATTTCATGCATGCCAATTTTTTGTTCTGTTTTGAGGTGATGAAAACAATGATAATCGTTAACACTATTAAATTATCTGTAAAATTGAAAAAAAGAAATAAATTAATAAGTGAAGAAATTGCTAACTGTTTTTCGAAATCAGAGTTGATGGGGTTTTTACAAATGTTTATCACCCAGTGCTGGCATGATTAATGATTTTGAAATAAAAAATACAACAAAATATTTAAAAGTTTGTAAAAAGTAACTTAATATTTAATTGTTTAATAATCCATTAGTAAATAATTATCGTATTGGTTATTTTTTAATTGTTTATAACTTGAACCATAGTATGCTAAGTCTGAAAAGTTAGTTTTTCAGTAGAAACTTTCAAAGTATGAAAGTTTCTTTAATCGTACGTGCCATGCTAAGTACATTTTTGCTTATTACCAAAATTTCAGTAAATTTAAATTAAGAACCGTGAAGAACTTTAAAACATGCTAAGTCGACTTAGCATACTATGGTTCGGAGGCGTCGATATGTAAGATTTATGAAATAGTATATTTTCGAAAAAGAGCCTAATATTACATTTATTTCGAAGATATAGTTATTGAAAATTTAAAATCTCCAACAATAGGACCTGCTACAATTTAAGAGTGTCCGTAGAACATTGCATGTGGAAATTTAGATTCGACACTTTAGAATTTGTGAAAGAAGTACCAATTGGCAAGGATACATCTTGAAAATATAAACATTTTTCCATACATAGTTAAGGTATGAACTGTCGATGATGATCCCTATCGCTATTTTGGGCATGTTTTCAACCAATTTGACTTCCAATTGTTATTTTTGATATTTTCTCAATGTGTGCCAAATCTTCCTACTAAGTATTATAAATATTGGTCTACTTTTGAGAATACGAATTAGTTTTCAACCGAATTGACTCTAATTTGAAGTTTAGGATTTCCTACAGATTACGATCAATTAAATATATTACAGTATCCCCCAGAATTCGATATTTTGCGGACTTTGGACACGTTCTCCTACCTACTAAAAATTATTAATATCAGTCCACGTTTGGGGAACGGGAGCACATGTACACTGTTTCAATGGTGGAATGCAGGAGTTAAGTTAAAAATTGCCGCAATGTTCTGTAGAGATAGTCTCAAGCAAATATAAGGAGATTTTTTTAAAGTATAGTGAATTTACTGTACCTTCATTTATCCGAGTGTATATTAGGCATTCCATTTGCAACATCTCGAAATATTTGTCGGAGACCCCTTAAAATCAATATATTGGTTTGGGGAAAAATAAATCCATTATCTTTATATGAACTATAGGACTTTATTTAACATGCTTCGGAATGTCCGTTTTGTGCCAAATATGCACCGTTTGGTTGTTGTTGTATAATTTGTTGCCATTTTAAAGGTAACTTCATAATGCCTCCTCATAGAAGTCCTGCTCTCTATTTACAAAAAAAAACTCCAGTTGTCGATTATCACAATCATCCCTAGATACCAATTTTTTTATCATTAAAGAGATTTTGCAATGCAAGAAAAAGATGATAATCGCTTGGTGCCAAGTCCGGACTGTATGGCGGATGCATTAAAACTTCCCAACCAAGCTCCCGAAATTTCTGGCGAGTCACTGTAGTTGCCTAGCGTTGTTCCGGTGGAACACGACACCTCTGCTGTTGCCCAATTCTGCCCGTTTCTGGTCAATTGCTATCTTTAAACGGACTAGTTGTTGACAGTAGAGATCATAATTTAGCGTTTGGCCATATGGAAGCAACTCGTAATAAATAATCCCTTCCAGTCCCACCAAATGCATAGCAAAACCTTCCTAACCGTTGGTCCTGGTGTGGCCACCCACCACCGCTCTTGGACCACGATCGTTTTCGCACAGGGTTATCGTATGTGATCCATTTCTCAACTCCAGCCGTTTAAGAAATGGGTCTATATCATTCCGTTTGATTCTAATCATGATTCCAAATTACCTGTTATTTCCGATTTTAGTTATTTTGAATGGATCCATCTTGGTGAAGAATATAAAATGTTTGATGAATTTGAAATGTATAAAAAGTTCGGTGAATATATGGGGTATAAAAGTAGCCCATGGAACGAAAACGTCTACGGATAGAAAAATACAGCTAAATAGAAGTTAAAAGACCGGAAAAAGTACTTCTAAATGCTTTGGGGAATGGAAAAAGGTCGCCAGATAGGTTATAGCGCCAAAAGGTCGCCAAAGTCACTGAAAATGCTGCTATCTATTCTAAATTCTTATACATCTTATAGCCAAAAAGTCAACGAAGTCTTTACCATCGTTATAAGCGATTTTTACTGTATTTCTCGAATTAATAAATCGTTTCTTAATGATTCGGTATTTTTTCAAACACATCTCGTACTTTGAATCTAATCTAATAAAACTCAATTAAAAGTGTTATTGTATTAAAATCAATCAAATAATGAAAAAAAATATTGCCGTTTATTCAGTTAAAATTTTATTAGGCCATCAGAATTGCAAATGAAAAATTGACGACATCTATATTTCGATTTAGCAGAAGAATTATTTGGTTTTCTAACTTCCAAATTAAAGACTTCAATGTGTAACAAAAATAAAACATTATATTAAATCATGTGCTATAAATTTAGCACATCATTTAAATACCAAAGGAAACATTCGATTTCTCTCTATGTACGGTTTTTTTTTTCTATTTAAAAATTTCCATTTTTATTATTTTCTATTTCACACTCTGAATAAATTTGATGAAATACAAAAGAAAAACTCATCAAATTCGAAAATTTCTGATAATGATAATATGCAAAAATATGGACATGTGTCAAACAAGTTGAATAATTAGATTCTAAGTTCGTTTTATGATAAATCGATTTGAAAACTGGAATTTTCAACAGTGTCTATGTTCTGTCTGAAGCTTCAAATATAATACTAAAAGGAAAAAAAAAAAAAATCAACAACCACAACAGGTCAACGTTTTCAATCAAAAGAAGAAGAGTAGCATATGAGGTTATGCGGAAATTCTAAAATAAATTCTAAACTGGTTTTTAAATTCTAAATCATTTTTTTTTTCATTTTCAAATAATGGACAAATAAAGTCAATAGCCTATATTGTCCATGAACATCTAATTTCCAATTATGATTTCATGTAATTGCCAATTCAATAAATTCAATGGGTTATTGTTTTTCTTTGTTTATCGGTTTGCTTGTTTGTCTTCTTGTAAATACTAATATTGAATTTAAATACTCAAACGTTAATCTTTAGTTTTGTTTCCCATAGATTGGTTAAGCGAATATTTAAATTCCACTTCCGGTTAAATATTTAAGATATTATAGTTTAGCAAATAAACAAATAACAAAATTGTCAATAATGAAGTCGTATTGGGTTTTTTATCAATTCGATTTATTAAACATTATTTTTTGTTAAAAATTAAATTTAGGCTATAATTTGATTTTAACAAATTTAGAATTCTATAATTAAAATAGTACAATTAAGTATTTTGTACTTCACAAACTTTGTTCTTTCTTTGTAATTTATTAAAAAAAAAGTTTCCCAAAAAATCTCCAAATCTCAATTTATGAGGAGAATAATTAATAATAATCGTATATATAAAATTCAAACTAAAGTAGTTACTATTCAGCATAGGTATCAATGTCCCTTTATATCCAAAAAAATCTTCATTACAATTCCTCAAATATGACAAACTCAAATGTATGTTAAGATCAAAAAGGAGAAATAAATAATTTTTGATATTTCTTACCATATTCCAATTCTAATATTGAAATTTGTAATTTATTTCATTTTGTTTGTATAGACAATTTGTCATCAAGGCCACAGATTTGTTTTCAAACGAAATCGAAATTAAAATCACGCAATAACCAAAAAAAAAATGTTTGTTTGTTTACATTTCAAAAAACCGGCTATAACCGCGATAGAAACTATTGTAGTCGCATTGGCAATTAACTAAAATCCCTTAAATTTTTTTGGCGACATTTGGATGATGTGTCTATATGTTTGTGTGTGTGTGTAACTACCCCCGTAAATGTTTCATACAAATCTTATAACATTCTTAAAGTTAATTAAGAGTGATACGTGTTTTAATTAAATTCAAAAGTATGTTTATATAAATGGCACAATAATATCTTTAAACATGATGACATATTTCACGGTGTCTCTGTGTGTGTGTGTGTCATGGTCCAAACACACTAAACCACCAACGGAATTTCGTTAGCTCTCAATAGCATCACAATAAAGTTCGTTGATCTTCATTGACCTTTGCCAATGCAATTAGAGGCAAATAGAAATCTTGGCTGAGAGCAGAGTTCATTCATTGAGTCCGGCTCATTTTTTATTATATACAACAACAGCAACAACAACATCATACCAATATTTAGATAAAAAATTAAGAAGAGGGAAGCAGAGTCACGCTTTACATGGCAATTCTTTAATAGGTTAAATATTGTATGTACTCGCACGAGTATGTAAGTAAGTATATATTTGTTGGCACTTTTGTTGTTGTTGTTGTTCGGTTAAAACCAACTTTACAACTTATTTTGTATTTATTTCTCACACACATGCGCACGCGTCTCATTATTTATTTTTAACATACACACAAACATACGTAAACATAAGTTTTTTGTTTATTTTTAAGAATATATTTCTGGGTTTTGAAAAGCACACACAAACATACATGCATATATACAGAGCTACATAGGCGACATTGATAGTGAAACGCTTGAAAGAACACGTATGCCCTTTGGAATGTCTGCGGCTGTGTCTGATCTTCTTTTGAATTTTGTCTGCCCGTCCGTTTGTCTCTCTTTGATATCGATTCGTGTTGTCTTTTTTTGTTTTTTTTTTGTAAAGGCCATACGGAAGTGATACGAAATCATTGGATGGGAATTCCCATGCTTGTGGGATTTCTGTCAATTTCAAGATGAGGGATGTCTCTTACAGAATGGTGAAAGAGAACAAGTTTTTTGTAATCCTTCTGTTAAAGTTTTGGGGGTTTTTCTTTTGGTTTGTTAAATTGGGTTCAGTTTTTTTTTTTTAAAGAAGACATTAACGAAACAAGGTTATGTTGTAACTACGTACATATATATATATATACAAATGTACGTGTTTCAGAAATAATTACTTCATTGCACTGGGTTGTGTTATGTGCACGTTGTGAAAAAATAAACAATGTAATGAAAAAAATTACTGTAAATATGTAAAATATCTTAATTTGTGTTGGAAATGTTTCTTTCAAGTGCTAGCATCTTCTAAGACAATTTTTGGTTGTTAAGACTCTATTAAACCAATAACGAAAGTT